CCATTTGACCCCTCTCGCCTTCCTTTCACGAGGAAGTGACGCTTCCTCGGGTAGACGAGGAAGTGAAGCTTCCTCGTGTAGCGTTCCATTGTGAGCAGACGTGTTCAATAAAGATTATTGTTTTTTTTTAAAGGTGCGTGGTTTCGGTTTTCGAACAAATCGGTTTTCGAACAGCCTTCCGGAATGGATTATGGTTGAAAACCGAGGTATGACTGTATTTGATAATTTAAAGTTCTCATGAATTGCAGTCCAGGCTCATTTGAGAGCAGATGGAAATTGCGACATCCAGACTCAATGTCATAAGTGCTTCAAAAGACGTAGTCTGGTCGAACATGGCGCACCTTCAACAACACCATCCGGAAATTTCACTGCTGCCATGTACCTCTGTTTGGAAAAGCACCAAGCCTCTGCAGAAGTGTATGGTAACATCAGTACAACAGTCTTACTGTATTTCTCTTGGGGAGTACGCTGAGCAAAAGCTTGCGCAGGATGGTGGCCATCGGAGTCTGAGTGCATTTGAGATGGTCGAACACTTGGCTCGTGTTGCCTTCTTGTAAATGACCTTTTTCTGAGCACTGCGTGACTTGTCAATCTCAACCGAGTTCGACTCATGTTTTAACCTCCTGCTCCATATTTTCGGGTCCGAAGCCAGTATCAGTCTGTCCCGGGGCAAATGCGATGACATCAGTCATTAGCAAGAGTTACCGCGATTGCTCGGAAGAGTCCGAATCTCTGCCGCGATCCAAATAGATCATTTATATACCATTGGGATATAGAAGCGCAGACTGTGTTGCGGTATGCGTGCCACATGGGTGGATACTCGCATTTTATGGTAATCCAGTTCAAAAGCCCGCTCACACCAAACCGAGAGAAACAGCGACATCGACGTGCTAAAGTTGACCGCCCGCATGTGGGGTTTGCGCAGATCTCTGTCGGAATATTTGATGCACGCCAGAGCTGAAATCTTGTTGGTGTATGTTCAGGGGGGTAATAAAAGACCAAAAAACTTAATCTACAGGCTCTCAATTGCAAGTAGAGATCCCCAGAAGTGTCAACAATGGGGCAGTGAGGACAAAGAAGAAGTCATCAGTAGTGTTCAGTTAGCCTGGACTGAACTACTCACCCGCCCCAGGACGTGAGACTTGCCCAACTCAGAATGACGAGACTCGACTTGACCTTGGTGTATGTTCAGGAGGGTAACAAAAGACCAAAAAACAAATGCACAAGCTCTCAATTTCAAGTAAAGATCCCCAGAAGTGTCAACAGCGGGGCAGTGAGGACAAAGAAGAAGTCATCAGTAGGGTTCGGTCAGCCTGGACTGAACTCCTCACCCGCCCCAGGACGTGACACTTGCCCAACTCAGAATGACGAGACTCGACTTGACCTCATCCTGAACTTCATGACTTGAGACATCATGCCTGCTTACGTTTGAGAATCTGCATTTTCAAGGTAGCGCACCGATTGTGTTGTTTTTGAAAGGGAGATTTTGTTTTCTGTGGGTGTCGTGCGTGGGAAGCTGGCAACCTACCAGGGTGTTGTAATGTGGAGTCAAGAGGCCATTTCATGAAGCACGTGTTAGGGAGGGAGCTCAGTCATTCAATTTGATTCAAAGATTATGCTTTTGATCCAATTGGAGGGGAGGGGAGGGGCTGGGGGGAAGCCAATGGTCTCATGCAAGACACAAAATTGACAAGAAGACAGGGGCCGGTGTCAGATTGTGATGGTACGATTACGCAAACGTGTGACAGTTTCACAGGATCATGGTATTGCAATTACGTCTCTGTGAAGTCACGAGGGTTCCGCTTCATGCGTAGCCCCCCCCAAAGGCAACATCACAAAATGCGGTCGTCCTGTATTTACGGTAGTTTGAATGTGTGCGCGCTGGGGCGTTGGGAGTCGTCAGCCTGCAGCTGCCCAAAAATGAAGGAAGAGTCGGTATACAAAAATAGTCCTGGAATGAAACACCACCAAAGAGCTGAAGAAAGTAGTCCTTGCGCTATGACCCCCTTAGCGACCCCCCCAGTCAGTGAAAAATGACTTTTTCCCTGGAAAAGTGCCAAAATGTCTCCTGTTGTTCCCTCACACGACCCAATTTTATGTTGAAGTTTTACAAATGCTTTGCTAAAGTTTGCTCTGCGCTAGCCTAACATTTAACGGAAGGTCATTCCATATCTTCAGTGGTGAAGAATTTGGTTCAGTGGCAGGAATATGCTTGGTTCACGTGTCACTACGCGAGAGTCTCTCTTTTCATGCAGCTGTTGTCATCCTGCTCCCTTGTGTCTAGCACTGACATCTTGATAGAGGTACCTTGATTTATGGCTCTTCCAAAATGTGTTTTTTGAGTTCAAAGCACCACTTGGTCATTTTTTTATTTTTTTATGTTTTAGGAACGAGCTTCAGATTTGCCATTGCTTCAGTGTAGTGAAATAAAGAAGAGTCGCAGTCACCAAAGTGTTTTCAGCCCGCTATTGAGCAGCTCAAACAGTTCAACTAAAAAACAAGAACACTTGCAAGGAGCTACAGAAGGCCAAAAGCTGCGTGTTTCTGTCACCACACACTAGACCAGGGCTGCACAACCTATTACTGATCAAAGATCTATTTTTCAAGCAACCGACTTCCCGCGATAGTCCCCGTTACAGCATACGCATGCACGCCACGATGATCAACAGCCATAACGGCCCCTAACTTGAATGAAACAGAAAAACAAAGTAGATGCAAGAGTTTGTGAAAAGGAAATCGATGGCAAACTTAACCGAGACCTGATGCGGAGGCACGGGACGCACTTTTGCAGCGTGTTAAGTGCAGAAACTATCGTACGTATGTGTACCGTTTGAAAATGCTTCTCCAGGCGCTCCAGATTGCCGCTCTTTGCCATTGCCGTTGATGAATTGTACAGTCGAACCTCTTTTCAAAGTGCCCCGTTTACGTGTCCACCCCTATAACGTTCGTTCACAGTTCCCGATTTCACGTCATTCATTTTCCATTTGCCGATTTTGCTTCCAGCGAACATCTTTGTCATTTAAACTTCATGATAACGACCAGATTTTCCCCACAACATTGCGAAAATGCATTTGTTCAGATGAACCGTGGGAAGCTAATTGCCACCGCGACCTTGCTTATGAAGAAAATGTACAGCGCGGGGTTCCTCTCCGTTGCTCAGCAATGCTACTGATCGACTTCCGGAGGCACGGCGCATACATGGTCTGAAAATCCGTCTGGTAAACGGAAGCAAATCTCACCGTCTGTGAAGGCTGACATTGTCTCTCACTCGGGGAAGGGAGTCTCCCAGACCAAACTCAGCCGAGACTTCGAATTGGCAAAGTCAAAAATTTTGACAATCATCCGTAAAATGGCAACAAAATCATGGCAGAGTTCAAGGCCAATGAAACCGAAAATCGGTTTTGATTTAGACGATCTGAGATCATTGAACCAGACGTGACTTGATTTCGACCATCTGAGATCTTTGAACCAATGACACGTTCGTATCAATGGGCTTTTCCAATATACATGAATTGCGCTTTATAAAAGCAGTTCATATTTTTACACGACTTTTTTGTTTTCACGCAATACTGTGTTATTTTCTCACGGCATTTACTGTCCAGTCCGCGCACGTTATGGAATCAGCATCAAAATAAGAAACTGGACTCCCCATTGCTTCTCTTTGCGTTGCAGTCGTGTTCACAATGACATTGTCTGTCTCCCACTCCTTCGCCCTCTCGCTCCCAAAATAAAACTCATTTGCTCCACCCTCACACAAGACCACATAAGGATCTCCGCTCGGCTCCCGGATTGTGGCACCCGACCGAGATGAAGCGCTCCCGTTCCACTTTTGTGTGTGCAGGCAAGCTTTTAAACGGGAGACGCATGCTCTGTTTGGAGTCGGGGAAACACAATGAAGTAATCATGGTTTGTCCCGGTTTCCCAGGGCCCCAAATGTGTGGCAGCGCAGCGAGGAAGAGCTCGTTGGCGGTCTGCGGCTTATTCGCAACACCGAGTGAGCCTCTAATTAGTCCCGAGATAATTGCACAAATCAAATCACTAGTTGGTGTGGAAAGGGGCACTCGGGAGAGTGCGTCGAAAAACCCACCGCCAGGGGTTCTGTGTGTGTGATTTTTGTCCCACTCTGCGCGCCCGCCCGTCTGCTTGTTGGTGCAAGCGCGCCTTTGCGTGCATGGGATGTGTGTGGACTTGCGCGCCTTTGTGCGTCGTCACCCCAAAGCCGCTCTGACCCTGATCCCCCTTCACCTGCCCGCTCAGATCGCTCCCTCACACACAAATGCAATGAAGCTTTCACCGATTTGCCAGGTTGTTGCCAGCCGTGCTCAAACCTTCTGAGCGTGGCAGTTTTTTTTGTTGTTGTTGTTGTTTTTCTGTCGCTTCCTATAACTTCTTGCCTGGAGCGCTATGAAAAAAACACAAATAGGATGATGTATTATCCGGGCACGTCAGAGGATAAATATTGTATGCTAAACGTTAACCATGGGAAAACCAGCAGCAACCGGAGTCCAACTTCCGAGCAGTGTTGGGCGTGCCTTTGGGCTACGAACAGTTCCTAGTCAACAGCCGACAACTGGGTCTGCAGGTGCCCGGGTCGCTGCGGCTTTAGGAGCCGCTTTGGGACCCGGTTGGAGGTTGCTCAACAGCAACAGCAGCAACAGGAAACTCTAGGCTCGAATGGCCATATTTGGACACTTTGAGGTGCATTACCTGCTCACTTTTTGGCAAGACCAAGTCAGTGGAATACAGTGTAGCCTTGCCAAAATGAGTGACTGCAAATTTTTAATTTTTTTTGACATTGTGTTCCGTTTGAAAAGAACGCAGCCCAGTGAAAAGAGGTCGATCTCTGGCGGGGTTTTTTTTTCTTCAATTGTTGAACTTTTAAAAGGTTATTTTATTCGGGATCATGTTCACACACGGTAAATATTTTGACATTTTATCTCACCCAGCCCAAAGCTGCAATTTGTATAACACGTGCGTTCTGATTTCTTCGGAATTGTCAGGACTCCAAGTCGTCGTCCGGGCGCTCCAGCATGTCGCGATGTCGGAACTCCATCGCGACGACCACGTCGGACGAGCAGCCGCACATCGGCAACTATCGGTTGCTGAAAACCATTGGCAAGGGCAACTTCGCGAAAGTCAAACTGGCTCGCCACGTCCTCACCGGAAAGGAGGTAAATCTTTGGGCTTCACACACGCCAGCCACACCGAAAGTTGCGCTGCTTGTTGTCAGAATTACTGTCCGACCGTTCTGGAACTTTTGAGACTGATGTCAGTTCAGATTCTTTTTGGCAGGATAAAATTTGGATAACCGATTAATGGGCTAATTAAATTCGACCCGCCTATTAATCAGCCGTGCAAGAAATCTAGCAAGTTTTTGTTGGCAGATCCCCGCATGACACCTCAAAAGCGACTTCCTGGTGGATGGAAGGTGTGTGTGTGTGCGCATGTACATGCTGCTGTCATTCTGTATAAAGGCCACAGCTCATATGGCTCTTGGAGAGCATAAAACCCCTTCCAGAAAATTAGCTCAGCATTTTCTTCCGCAGCGGAGAAAGTCTTCGGCTCAGCGTGCTATGCACTTGCGGCGTGTCGCTTTCAGAGGGAAAGCGGCGAGCCATGCTGGGGCTCCTTCTTTGGACCAACACGGCACGTTGGTTAGGAGGGACATGGGCGGGCTCTGTCAACGTGTGACAGCTCTCTGCCTGACACCCTGATAACACTCCATGTGACTCGCTGGCACACGCGCGCACACACACACACACAGTGGAAAAAACAAGGGCGAGTCAGAGGGCACCAAGGAGTCAAATGAGCAACACTGGAAAGAAGAAAGAAAGTGCTCAATTGTCTTCAGTCCTTTGTTCTCCTGCACGTTAAACGCTCTTGAATTCCACCCCCCCCCCACACACACACACACACACACACACACACACACACACACACACACACACACACCGTCACACTTTACAGTTTTTATCCCTCCCATCTGACTCTATTTTTGTTTCAGTTTCATCGCTCCCTGCGTGTTTTCATACTGTGCCGCCGACCCTCACGTGTGTCTTTATTCGACCCCCGTTATGCAACTGACACCTGCTGCTATCATGTTATAGTCAATCTTGTACACCTCAATCCAATGCCAACGTTTGCCATCGGCTCGTCCTCTGAGGTGCAGGTGCTTGTGCAATGCATGCAAGTCATGTTGTTTTGTTTGTTTTTCTTTTTTGCCTTCTAGGTGGCTGTGAAAATCATTGATAAGACACAACTCAACTCCTCCAGTTTGCAGAAGGTGGGTTGCCCCCCCTCCCTCCTCCCAATCTCTCTCACACACACACACACACACACAGACACACACACACACACACACACGTTTACAAAAATCTAACGGTCACGCATATCTTCCTTTCCTCTGCTTTTCTGAAGCGGTCCGGTTTTCAATGAGTTTTAATGACAGGAAATAAACTGCAATTACTTCCCTTGATCGTGGCTGGGTGGGGTCTGTCCACTTGCACGCATGTGCACACGTTCACTCTCTCACACACACAAGCGCACTCTCGCCATGTGTGTTTGCATCACGACAAATAAAAATGCAGAACCACTGCTGTGCTTGCCACATAACGGCCACTGCTTGTCAGATTAGCGCAAAAAGAAGGATCAGTATGCTCAGATCCAGATTTTTCACAAAGTCATATTGCCATTTGATTCTTGTTATATTTTGCTCCAACAATGACCGTAAGCACCAGAGCTCAACAATTACTCAAATTCAAATCAACCGCACACAGTTGCAGAATGCAATTTTCACTTGGAAAAGGCTTCAATTTTGGGGGATCCCCGCAACAACCGGTGTTTCGTGTCAGTCAGTAGGCTTTATTCCTTATCTATTTTATCCATGTTACTTTTTTGTTTCTGTCAGTTCTAAACAAGTTCAGCCCTTAGGAATTGGAAATGTACACGTCATTGTTTCATCCAACATGAAAAGTTTGAAGTGATAAAGCCACGGATTTGTTTGCATTGCTGTTGTCATATGATTTATGACTCACCGATTTAAGTTTTTGGCGCACTTTGGTAGAACGGTGTTGTTGCAGTGAATTCTTGTGAAAATATTTAGGAAGTGAACTGGTATTGAAGTTGAAAACCTGTCTTTCATGTTAATTCATGGTTCGTTTGCTTTTATCTTAGTGTAAGCCTAACCGATGAAGCCAAAACATTCACACAATATAATGCATTGACTATTGTTTCTTGAGATACAGGTAAATTAATCGCTAGAGTTTGAGGGAGCTTGTAAAAAAAAAAAAAAAAAAAAAAAAAAAAAGCATATTCAATTGCAATATTGAGGGAAAGAAAAACAGCAATTTGCTTATTTTTAAAATCGTTAAGCCCCTAATCAAGGGCCTCCAGACCACATGTGGTGTTGCCATGGACACATAGACTTTCTATTGGCAGGCACACGCAAACCTCAAGATGGTGTTTATTTAGTTTGGAGCGCCGCCTGTGTCCATTGAGTGTTTGACCCAGCCCGTCTCTGTGTGTGCGTCTTGTTTGCTAGCTCTTCCGGGAGGTGAGGATCATGAAGATGTTGAACCACCCCAACATAGGTGAGTTGAAAGGACGGCCACGCTTCAAACAAAACGGAAAGGGTGCAAATGATGGCCACTCAGCATCTTTTTGCATTCTCCTCCACCATCAGTTAAGCTCTTTGAGGTGATAGAGACCGAAAAGACCTTGTACCTGGTAATGGAGTACGCCAGCGGAGGTGAGCGAGCGTGTGACGTGCGGGAGCTTTTGATTCAAGTGCAGGAGTGGAATGGAGCCCCAATTGTGTGCCCGTCTTGTAGGAGAGGTGTTTGATTACTTGGTGGCTCATGGCAGGATGAAGGAGAAAGAAGCCCGTGCCAAATTTCGACAGGTATGTTCCAGTGCGTCAATATAAATTCCTTCAATTTGCCATTTTGATGGCTTACACACCAAGCAGCAGCATTCAGAACAGGTTTGGAAGTTTTCAAACGTTTCCCAGCATCAAAAAAGTGCTTTCTCCCGGCAGAAAAAAAAAAAACGTTTGTCCAAACTTGTCTGTAAATGATACTTGATAAGTAACAACAAACAATTTAACGTCATTCGATGATCCACAATGCAGTATGTCTTAGCTTGAGTAACGCCACTCCCTCTCCATCTCTTGTTAAGTAGGCAGTGCACATCACTTTAAAAATACAGAAGCCCCTCCCAAAAAAGAACAACCGTCCAGCCCTGCGTTATCTTTACAATTGCTTCCTAATTGTGTTTTTTTTTTCTTGCGTTATTCACTCACTCTCCTTCTGCTCTCTGTCCCTTGCTCACTTTCTCACTCCCCAGATTGTGTCAGCGGTGCAGTATTGCCATCAGAAGTGTATAGTACACCGAGACCTCAAGGTGACAAAATACACTCACACATGATTATGAAATGGTGGCGACCAAGCCTCTTTTGTCTACCGCGTCATACACTTACTGTATTAAAGCTGTCACTATTTTCTTATACAGTCCAAAAAAAAATTTTCTGGAGCGCAGACCCCAAGGCATCATAGTATAGCAGGCCTGCGCATCCTGTGCTAATCCCACTCATCAGTGGGTTGGCATGAAAACAATGTCACAGGCTTAACACTGATGTGGATTTTGATTGGTTGTTGAATGAGTCTGAATTTCACAGTAAAGCGATCAATGTTACTTTCATCAATAATGCAGTGTAGCGGTTATCTGAGTTTTACCCCTCATCATCATCAAAATCGTTTCCATTCAAGCTGTCTCCAGCCTCCCGATCGCAATCGCGCAGAAGGTAGAGAATATTTAGATCAAGTGAAAAGGAGAGTGCACCTGTTGCTAGGCAACCAGGGCCCACTTGCTCAATAACTCCCTTCAAGTTTCACGAAGTGTCATCGCTGAGTTTGCCCATTGCGTGCTACCTTGTCTGCGACTGCAACCCCTCCACCGTAGTAACCAATATTTCAGGCACACTCAAGTAGCAAGACTTCCAAAGTATTTCTCCACATCCGAAAAATTGTCCTCCACCCACTCGGTTTGAATTGTCCGTTTGCAGGCAGAGAACCTGCTCCTGGACGCCGACATGAACATCAAGATCGCAGACTTTGGTTTTAGCAACGAGTTCACTCTGGGGAACAAGCTGGACACGTTCTGCGGCTCCCCGCCGTACGCCGCGCCTGAACTATTCCAGGGCAAGAAGTACGATGGGCCCGAGGTGGACGTGTGGAGCCTGGGGGTCATCCTCTACACGCTCGTCAGCGGCTCTCTGCCTTTCGATGGACAAAATCTCAAGGTTAGGACCGGCAGACTAGTCCATATGCGTGTGGATCCATGTCTTACATAAGCGGTCTGTCTGTTTAGTGTGGGTGGTTGCAGCGTTTCTCTTCTTGGCTTCTTTTCCTTCTACCAAGTGGATTACGCCAGTATGAGCCAGAGTGACTATTTATTAGAATCGTATTTCGATGAGAAGTGATCAAGCCTTGGTGCGTACTGCTTTTCTTCGCGCCACCTATCATGCTGTGAAGTCAGGCAGCACCCACGTGACGCATCCTGGACGTGCGGACACATTTTGGGTGGGCGATCTGATACCAAATGTGATGTTGATATTAACATTCCTGTGAAGTATCTCGGTTTAGCAAGTTTGCCATTTCACTGCCTCACTCTGTGTATGGTTTTGTTAAACACCAACGTTACTTGCCTTACTATGTCTTTAAAAGACTGGCGCTGGTTAATGTACTGTAGTACACTTTTTTTCTTGCACAATAGGTTAAATGACCAATCTAGATTCTTCCCAGGTGTGATTGTGGGTGTGAATGTTTGTTTGTCTGTGTGTGCCCTGCAAATGGCCGGCAAAACAATAGGTTAAATGACCAATCTAGATTCTCCCCAGGTGTGATTGTGGGTGTAAATGGTTGTTTGTCTGTGTGTGCCCTGCAAATGGCCGGCAACAAGTTTGGCCTACTGCTCGAAAATGGCTGGGATAGGCTCCCGCATACCCGCAACCCTCATGAGGGTAAGGGGGATCAGGCCCAAGGCAGCAGGGAGGGGTGGACAAGGCC